TAGGGATCCCATACCTGTTAAAAAGTGTCTGTCAAGATGCTGTAATTTTCAGCCCTGCTGTGTTCTGATCATAGTCAGCTGTACTGGAGTCACAACAGTACTTTCTCAAAAGATATTAGCATTTATTTTCACATTGCCACTCTTAATATTTTCATTTGAGCAAATCTTACATTTCATCAACCACCAAAACCAATTCAAGCAATCCACCTTAAAACTGCCTTAAGTTCTCTAATCAGATAAGTCATCATGACGTTTCTGAATAACACAGTAGCTTCTGCTACTGAACATACCTGCAGCAGAACATCAGTGAAGCTACAACAGCCAAAATCTTTGCTTTCTACAGCGCTAAGATACTCCCAGAGGATCAATATCAGCGTGCTTTTGCATGCAAAGAAGATCTGCAATCCTTCCTATCCTCTTTATGCTCTTTTACCACTGGCTAGGTAGCTCATGTTGCTTGAACATTGCTTTCAGCCTGCTGAAGAGCTTTGTGTCGTCTGAGCTGAGAGCACCATTTTCTTGGCCATTGCTGGGACTGGATGTCACTCTCCTCCAGGTTTCCTGGTACCTCTCTCAGCTGTTTCCATTTTTCCCAGATTGCTCCACATTACACTGAGCTTCCCAGTTTCTCTTGCCTTCTTTGGAGCAGGCTGGCGATTCACGGGTGTGGATGGGCAAGCCCAGCACTGGCCCTTTTTCTGAAGACCAAGGGGAATATCCTCTGAAGTATGTTGCAATTGCTGATAGAAGCTGATATGATGTGATTCATCAACCGTAGCTGGATTCCAAGAAACTCTTTATACAAATTCGGGCTAAGGCAGGCCAGTCCCAAAGCCTTGCAGGCACGTACTGAAAAAAATCACACAGTGAGGAGTGCGGGGGAGGAGAGCAGGGCTGAACTCTGCAGCGAGGCAGAATGTACAGCTCTATAACATGCTGCAGACTCAAGGCATGCAAACACTAATGCCAACGTGCAGCTTTTAATAATCTATTATGAATTTGGCCGTAAGCTGATGCAATGGAAGTGCTGGGAACCTGAAAGGTGTGGGCTAGAGGAGGAAGTAGGGAGTCGCTTTGACATGCATGTTCTCATCCTCTGCTGCTTGTTGTTTGTCTGGTTGCTGTGTGTTCTGGCACTGGGCTGCACAGCTCACTCCAGCTAGCACTCCCCTCTTCGGGGAGCCGTGTTGTGGAGGTAACGTGTGGGAGTGTGTTGAAACCTTGCGAGGAGGTGTAAGTTGCATCTTAATAAATGACGGCTTATCTGCACTCACACACAGACTGAAACAGTAATTTGCCTGATTTATTTCAGCGTAAGGCTGGGTACTGTGGTAAAAAAAAAAATTAGTGCATATAACTGCTGACTGTGTGGTATTGGTTACTGGGTAGGTGCTGACTCACCTCGGTTCACCTCCAGTCCAGCAGGAAGAAAGGACCATCTGAAGATGAGAAAGTTGGAACAGACTTGTCAAAGTAGTTCCTGATAATTATTTTTGCATTGTTACTGAGGAAGCAGATTTTCTCCTGCAGTTTGGGTCAGAGAAGAGGATAAAGCAAGAAATAGCACCAGAGTCCCTGAATTTTATTTTGTAACACAAAGATAAACTCTTCATGAGCTAATCAGCTGGTGTCCTGAAATTCTCACAGAGCTTACTAGAGGGAGCAGTCTTACTCTGCAAAGGGCTTGAGTAAAATAGACTTTACTGTAAAGATTTGCTTTCATTTATAATCTGCCCAATTTGCTTGGTGTAATTAGGAAATAACCAACACCTCAACTTTGCTCCTGTTACAGAGACAACGTGTCACCAAAAGAGGCTTCAAGGTTGCTGTTTTGTTCAGTACTACACAACAGCACCTAGAATTCAAGACAGATTCGGAATTCAGTTTTGTAAATGCTCTGAACACATTCTGTGCCCTGAATTGTTTGCAGAACCTAAAATAATATGAAGTGTAAGGAAAGATAAAAATTTGAAAGTTAAGGAAGTGACTTGAAAAACTAAAGAGGATAGACTCCACTCTCATAGCTTTAATTCCAAGAAGTTAAATGACAGGTTAAAATAGAGGAAAAATACTTAAATACAACTTTGGCAGTGTTCCAGATGTGGCTACATGTGTGACAGGTAAAGGAGAATAGTCACTTTACTTCACCTGCTGGACACATTCTTACTCTTGCAGCCCTGTAAGGGCTTGACCTTTGTTGCCTCTTCCTGGCTCCTGTTTCTTGCTGTCCACAGGAAGCCCAGGTTCTTTTCCTATCACAATTAGACCCAGATTGGACCAATGTATTAAGCAGTTTTGTTCCAAAATGACTATGCCACATAGAAAAAATGTGATAGAAGGATATTTTGAAAGGATTTCTTCTAAACCAAGTCCTGTGAAAAATACTGAGGTACCATATTCACATGTTTCTGCCAAGCAGATCCATTTTAGCAGTCAAAAATCCTGACTTTGCCTATTTTTTTCTACTCACGTAAGGCTACAGATCTCTTTAATTATTTCGGTGTAAGTGGCCAGGAATGAATATAACAATGGCAATAAAAAGAAATTGGGCTCAAATAATCCCAGTCCTATCAAAAGCTGACTGGTGATTTCATCTGAGCCAGTAAAAAGCAATGGGTCACCTGAACCGGTGAAAACTCCACACACAGATGCATTTAAAGTTTCTATATCTGTTTTGCTTTGCCTCTAAGTAGTGTTGCCATACCAGGTACAAAGCAGCACCGTCAATAATCAGCTACTTTCAATTGCTTCAGTGAAGAGAACAAGAGAGGAGGGTGCTGCCAACCTCTGAAGATGCAATTACATCCTATTGCTCGATCTACAGAAAACCTGCAACCCCCCCTTTCTTGGAAGGAATGGATCTGCCTGCCCTTGGTGCAGGGAGGGCAGAGGCAGCAGGGAACAGGACAGACTTCTGTGCCATATGGTGTATAAGGAGCTGGGTCCTGCAGAAGAGAGGAGAGGATGGCTATGAGATGCTGAAAGAAAACGTTGGCTCTAGGGACACCCACAGCCAGAGGGAGCCCAGGCTGGGCAAGAAACAGAATCTCAGCCCAGACTGAGCAGCACACATCACCAAGAGGAAGAAGTCTCTTATCTTTTAACACAGAGAAGGTATGTTTTCACTGAAGCAAACAGCTCCAGATGAAAGGAAGGGAAACCATTGTTTCTTCCCCACTTCTTAGCCCTGTTGTTTAGTAGAGTCCACTTAAAGTCTCAGTACTTGGGGTGAGGGGAGCCCCAGCTGGTCCTCAGTGACTCAGTCTGCAGTCATGTTCCACCCCATTTATCCTGTTTTCAGTGAAAACCTTCTACTTGCATAGGGTGTCAAGAAAGATTTACAGCCAGACTGCTTAGAACTGCTGTTGGGGAGGTCTTGCAGCAGCAAAATGTGGATGTAGGAGTGAACCATGGCTTTATAACTGCTGGAAACTGTGCATAACAGTAGTATTTTTAACTTGTTTTTTGCAGGATCACTGCTCTCTCTGTGTTGTCTACAGAGCTCCTTCTTGGTCTTCACTGACTGTACATTATTTTTTGGTCTTAGAGTTTATGGTAGTTTCTTCCTAGCTTATTAATTTTGCTGACTTATGCTCTGAGGCAGAGAGATTAAATTCCTAGTTTTGCACTTGATGAAACATCATTGTGGATATTTTCATATTTACCTGAGCCCTCAGACATTTTGAATGCTGCTGAGATACTGAATCACAGATTCAGCTCCTCAATAGTATTGTTTATTTTTTCTGGAGTTTTTTTGAAACATCATTCTCCAGGAAAATCCCTCTTTCCACTAAAAGCGTTTCCACCAATTTCACATTCCTTCTATTAGTCTTTGATGACATTTCATATTAATTTTCCAGTTTGCTTCACACTTAAATATTGCTGGTATTTTTATATAAGCAGAAGTCTTCAAGGAATCTCTGATTTTATTTCTGCTCTACTGCAAAGTGTAGAAAGAGTAAGAATTATTTCTTGTAGTTAATACTATATTCATTGATGAACACATGAGCAATGAACTCTGTTCACCCATGACCAGTATATATAATTGATTTTTGTATGTCTTTCTACATTCTTATTTTTCATAGATTTTTCAGCTTAAATGACTTTGTATCACTTCACATTCTTAGGAAATTTCTGCTCTTCTGGCGAAAAGCAGGATCTCAGTCTTCAAGTCCAGGATTCTAGCATTGTGTTTTCCTTAAAAAACTGTTATAGAGTAGTTATGTTGCCATGGACATCTTTGGTTTTGAGAATGGAAGTTTGTTTACTTTAACTCTGATGCCATAGGGCTGAGGCAGGCATAAAGATGTAAGCAGCCAAAATATCAGCCCTAATTTCGGAATCCTCATGCTCAATCACTGAAACCCTTTTTCTCTATGAACCTTATGGCAGATCCACTGCCAAGAGGGGAAAAGCCAGTCAGAGAGCTCCTCAAATTTCCACTAATTGGAGTCAGGCTGTAGCACAGGACCTTCAGCTCACTGTCTGGTTGTCCTGGTACATCTCTGACACCGATGTAGGCGACTGTGAATAGAGAATTAACAGGTCTGACTGGGAGTGGAAGCACTTCTGTGCAGCAGCACAGCTTCTGTGAGACCTAGGAGCTGATGGTCATCAAGACCAAAACACCTCTGCCTGCAGCTTCTTAGGACACTCAGTTCAAGAGGGAGAGTCCAATGAAGATTCTCAAAAGCAGGACAGCTCAGTCAGACTAATCAGTGTCAATTCCTAAAGGGTACCTAACGAATGTTCAAAACTTGCACGTGGTCACAAACCTAAGAACAAAGATGATGAAGACCCAACAGCTGACAATCTTTGTCACCAATGCCATGGCAAAGAATTCTAGGGAGATTGTTTGGGCACAAAAGCCCTTGGACAATATGGGTCTGAGAGTGTGCTGAATGTGGCTGAGTGAAATCACGTTTGGAGTTCGGGGGTTTTTTTTTTGATGAAATCACCTTCTTCCCTACCCAATAACCTTTACTACACTGGTTCTACAATGCAATGTTATTTCCTAAATGGAATTGGTTGCCAGGCATCTAATTCAGCTGTTTCCCCTCTGTTTCTCTCCTGTAGATGCTATGTGAAAGCTGCATGGAGAGGGACAATGTGAGCACTGGTGCAACCATGGAGTTCCTCCTGCTCGGCTTCTCCGAGCTTCTCCATCTGCGGGTCCTGCTCTTCCTTATCTTTCTCATTGTTCATTTGGTCACGTTGGCAGGGAACATGATGATCTTCATGGCGGTGCTTATGGAGCCCTCACGTCCTCCCATGCTTTTCTTCCTCTGCCAGCTCTCTGCCATCGAGCTCTGCTACACTTTAGTCGTTGTCCCCAAGGCGCTCTTCAGCCTGGTGGTGGTGGATGGCAGCACCATCTCCTTCCTGGGCTGTGCTGCACAGATGCACTTCTTCGTGGCCCTCGGTGGGGCTGAGTGCTTCCTGCTGGCAGCAATGTCCTACGACCGCTTCGTGGCCATCTGCCACCCCCTGCGCTACGCGGCCCTGATGAGCGAGGGGCTGTGCCTCAGGCTGGCTCTCACCTGCGGCCTGGGAGCCTCTGCTGTCGCCCTGGGCTTGACGGTGGCCGTGTTCCGCCTGCCCTTCTGCCAGTCACGCCGCATCAACCACTTCTTCTGTGATGTGCCAGCCGTGCTGCACCTGGCCTGCACACAGAGCTACACCCCCGAGCTGCCCCTGCTGGCTGCCTGCCTGCTCCTCCTGCTGCTCCCCTTCCTCCTAATCCTGGCCTCCTACGTTTGCATTGCCGTGGCTTTGTTGCGCATCACCTCCCCTGTGGGAAGGGGTAAGGCCTTTTCCACCTGCATTTCACACCTGGCCATCACCTCACTGCACTACGGATGCGCCACCTTCATTTACATCCGTCCCAAGTCCAGTTATTCACCAGCTCGAGACAAGGTGGTGTCTCTGGTCTACACCAACATTACTCCCTTAATGTATCCCCTCATTTATAGCCTGAGGAACAAGGAAATCAGAGGGATCCTCAGGAAAATGCTGAGGAGGAAGAAAACAGCTCAGGTGAACTGGGATGCTGTCAGAGTTGTGATGTGTGTGTGTGGTAAATTTTAGCAGAATAAACTCATGCTTGTTGGAAAACAGCCCCATAACCAGATCACGGTAGACTTTGCTAAGGCAAATATCCAGGCAGAATTCATCATGTATCACTACATTTGTGAGAAGAAGATATCTCTGCTCGAAAAAATCCCCAACATAACACTTGATCTAAAGGGAAATGCTTTAGTGAGTTGTGAGGATCCAGAGCTTTGATCAATCACTGGTCTCGCTTCTCTGATCACATACATATTCAGGCTTACATTCATAGTCATCCCAGCACAATCAGAAGATCAACACAAATTTTTTTTAAAGCTAATAAACCAATATTAAAATATTGGTTTCATTATTTTTCTGTCAAGATGACAGTAGAAATTGGGTAGTCAGTACAAATTTTAGACTGGTAAGTTTAGCAGCACAATAAATCTGTATGGGCTTAAAGGAAGGCTAGAAAAAGAAAGTTCATGGCTAGAATGAAGGGAAAAATGGCTGTGGTTTTCTCCAAATCTAGCAGAAGTCTGCTCTCTGGCACCTCATGACAAATGGAAAGATTGTTAGTGTAAACTCATCTAACCTTGAATTATTCTAGATACTGAGAGCTAAAATGCCATTAGTCTAACAAGAGTATGACTTTCCTATGCCTATTTTGCAGAAAGCAAAGTGTATTTCCTTTTACAGGGAGATGCTTTAGGTTTGGATTGTTTCTATGGCAACACAAAGGCTAAGATACTTGTCTTATCATGTGACTTTTACCAGGAAAGACTGCATCATATAAATATGAATGCCTGGGGAGTGTTGAGATCTATAATTGTAAAAGTAATAATACTGCTGCCACAGTTATTGCAATTTCTTCAGAAAAACCAGCAAGAGTTACAGCACAGGCTGGACTGCAGCAGACATAAGAGTCTGAAAGGTGCAAAGCAGTGTTATTTTATGAGTTTCCTATGTGTAGGAGGAACAGGGTGATTCAGACAAATTAGGGAAGATCAATTTTGGCCAGGAAGAGGAGGGGAATGTACTTCCCTCCCCCATGTCTCTTTAAAGGTCATAGAGACCCTATGATTCAGAACCTACCTCTTATGTAGAAAATAGTTGAGAAAAAATTAAAATGTTTAATTCTGCTCCTCTGTCTAATCCAAAGGAATTTCAGCATCCCAGCTGCCCTCAGTTCTCTCTTTGGGCAGATCGAGAGAGCAGAGTGGTATTTGCTTTCTCTGGGCTACAATCATTAAAAATTATGGTAAGTGGATTTGACAAATGTAAGAAATTGGCACTGTAACTAAGGAAGTTAACTTGGAGACTTCTGACAAAAGAGAAATGTGGAATTTAAAACTGACATTAAAAGCTGTCTTCAAGTTCACAGTCTAGCCTGCCTAAAACATTAACACAGAATATTGGCTCTCATGTCAATGAATACCTAATTACTCTGTGGGCAAACATTTAGCTGCATTATTTAAAATTATCAAAGCTGCAGTGAACATTTTAATCACCTGCCAGCTCTTCCAAAAGCGAGAAGGGGAGGGTCTCAATGAAAGAACACTACGTACTAATAGAGAAGTACTTCAGAATTACATAGACAAGTACTTTGAATCAAATACTATTAACTGTAATGAGCACAGGAAAAATAGGAAGCATCAATTCCAAATCCTGTCAAGTCAAATCAAGCTTTGAAGTTAATCCTGCTGCAAGCAGTTGGCTGGATTTGAGATGGCCAGAGCTCCTTCCTGAGATTAGCAGGACTTTGCATCAGAGGTTTCTAACCTGCCTTCTAGGAGGTATTGATATGTCCAAATGCCTGGCAATAAAAGTGAAGGACAGAAAGACACTGAGGTTTATGATTCTGTTCAAAGCCTTGGTAGAGGCCCTCACATATTTCTGGCAGCTGTGGGCATGGGATAGCAGAGGGATAGCAGTTACCTGCTGCCAGCTGTGGGAAGATAGCAGGGCTGTCCCTGAGCCAGGACACTTCTCGTGAACCGCTGTGGAACGGAGGCACCTGGGCAGACCTCTCCTCACTACAAGGATACAGATGTATGTGTCCCCTTTGGTAGGGGTGACATGACTGAAACAGCAGCCAGGTTAGACTCCCAGCTCTTTCACTCTGAGATACGTGTGGGAAGCATAAAAAGCAGTGCAGGCTTTCTGAGATGACACTTCCTCAGTGTCCCAATGTCCTTGCAGATGAACAGAGTGAGGAGATATCCCAGAGCCCAAGACTATTCCCACACCCACTAGTCCGAGACTAGCCCCCTCAGTATTCCCACACCCAACCACAGCACCCTTTCCCCCCACCCCATGCCAGCTGTCTTGAGCACTGCATACATCTGTAGAGAGGACTCAGGGATAAGAGCGAGGAGAGGGGTAGCTTATGACGTAAGCACAGCAGCAACGTATAAGAGATATCAGACCCACTCCCTTTCTAAAATGTTATCTTTTAATTGACTGGACCTGCCTGAGGTCCCTTTTCCACTCAAGTGGCTGTTTCAGTCCTGTTGACTCAGCACACTGTGCTGAGAGCTGGAGAGTGCTCAAATTAAGCAAGGCAGCACCAACTCTGATGTAGGCATGAGCACAGAATAATAATTTAAAAAAAATAATTTCTAAGTTCTTTTCAGAAATTCATAGGGAACAGCAGGATCCAGTCAGGCAGTGCAGATTTTGACAAGTGCACATTCCACCTCCAACGAAGATGGATATGGAAAAGATCTTTCCATGTGTGTTGTAATTTTTTGGGTTGGGTAGGGATTCAAGACTCCCCAGTGAATGAGTACTGCTGGGTACCTGCATTTCACAAATAGTCTTGTCCTTTCTTGGAAGAAGAATGCTTGCATTCCCAAAGTTGCAGAGACCTGAGACCTGGCAAACATAGATGTCATGAAGTTTTCCAGTGAAACCAATTAGGACATCACTAAGAATCACTTCATGGTTTACACAGCCATAAAAACATAGTATTCACCTTTGCAATTAATTTCGTAAAGGCAGCCCTGAGCAGGCACTGTGTGAGAATACAGATCTTATCAATGGTGGAGCACCAGAGCCCAGCCTGTAAGAGTTCAACCTGTAAGATCACATCAGTGCTGTCCATGTTCTCAAAAATTAAGAGAGTTTCGAGGATGATGACACACTTTGGGCAGCATTCAGGGTACTCAAGGTCCAGTGCCTTGCATGGTACATGCCACTGAAAGAGGTTCCAAGGAGATATTTCAAGGTGGTTCTTTGAGAAACCAGTGAAAAATGCTCTGTTTTAATTTTTTTTTTCTCCACACTATTATGTTTTTCTGGCAATCCAGGGTAGGACATTTCCTAAAAGTTGTTTCTATAAATAATCAATCTCCTAAAAGAATTAAATGCACTTGTATTAAATTAAAATCCTTATTTTCCTAGGAGTATAAATACAGAAAGTTTATTTAGGAGATTTGTTTCTATTATGGGTAAGGAAAGTGGAAAAAATTGGCAAAAGTCCAGTTTTAAGAGCATGAAAGAGATTTCAGTGTATTTATCTTCCCTTGACAAAGTCATGTTATCACATCCTGTCTGTTTCAGCTTACATGGAAAGTGAGTCCACCAGCCTTCCTTTCTTTCACATTCCTTAAAAGCTTAGAAACCTGCAAATAATCTTATATTTACCCAAACAGATATTTCTTTTCCTTTGATCTGAAGCAGAAAGGTGATATTAATATAGCTATTTATAACAATGGAGTTGTAAAATTAAATGGATGTGGGCTTAGTTGTAAACCTAGAAAATATATGTTAATATCACGAGGGTGAAGAGTTGTCAAAGATTTTCTTTATTGAGGAAAGGTCTCTGTTTCTGATGTTTATTATGAACATGCCAAAGGAGCAATACTTACTGTGCTTTACTATTTACATACTTCACTGCTATAAAGGCTAGAATGCTATAGGAGTTTCTCTTGCAGATATACAAAAGAAGAGAGATGAGTACTTCCTGTGATTGTTTTTTACTATTATATGAAATTATGTATTCAGCATATAAAATCTGATAGGTTCCTATTTTATATAAAACAGATAGAGTCCACAACCCCATAAACAAGCTAATGGGAAAGAAATATACTTAAATAATCTTCCATTTATCCACAGAATGAAACATTTCTACAAGCTTTTTATTTATCAACTCAGTTGTTAAACAGGCCTTAAGTTTCCTTTAATGGATTGTTTCAGGAAGCAACCAGGAACATAGGACAAAAACTAATCAGGAGACCAAAGCGGAGCTGAAGAATGAGGTGAAGCTCCTGCCAGCTGGTTGGTTTCAGAATTAGTTTCACCTTGCCCTACAAGCACCTCCACATCAAAAAGCTGACTGAAGGTGTTATTAATAATTCCAGCACTGTATCCCTAACCTAAAGCTCTTGGCTCTAAAGATCCTATTGTTCTCAGTTGACTTCCAAGCAAGTCCAGGAAAAAGTGAGACTGGGAAGGTCGATACCCACTCATTGTGTACCCTTGGCTTCACCTGCATAAGTGCAAGAATATGAGACAGTCTGGTTTTACAAATTGGTATGTAAAGATGTAAGACCGTCTGGTTCTACAAATTGGCATGTAAAGTTGAGGGAAGACCTGATGGCTCAGCAGCATATGGCCTCTAGCCTAGTCACTGCTGAAAATCAGGTCTCCTAAAATCTGGGTTGTGTTTCATTGTGGTTTTGGTGTACAGTTGCTCTCAGCATTCATTTTAGTTTTCATGTTTTGATTTAATTAAAGAGTTCAAGTTTCAAAAAATCAAGTGGGAGGCTGAACAGGGAATAGAGTTGGCAGTGAGTCGGGAAGATGTTAACACGTTGAATGCCCTCCTTCCACCTGCAAGGTGTCTGTTTCAAAAACCTTCTGCAGATGTCCACCTTGAAACCTCTCAGGGAGAATGCTGCTTTCTAACACAGTGACCACTGGAAGCTATTTCAGTTCTGCACTGGACAACTCTTCAACATCAGGATCAAGCTACAACAGCAACAAATATGGGCAAGCTTCTTGTGTTCAGATTGTGGAGGCAACTGTAATTTGTT